AGCTACATTGCAGGTTCCAACTGCCCTTCCCATGAAGATAGTCCCGGTCCTGATGGGAGGTGAAGATGACTCCAACTTACCCAGTACAGTGGTCTGGTGGTCTGGTGTCCTCTGCGTCTTTGTAGTGTGGAACCAGGTGGCTGTACAGGGCGGGGGGGGGGGTCCAGTGGATTGTTGCCAGGTTGCGGGCTGATTTGGCATGTTTCGAGAGACTCACGACCTCGGTAGGTGGTGTGCAGACCTGCCTGTCTCTCTTTTTTTGGTCGGGGGGGGGGTACCCGGGACCAAACTCACGACCCTGTGCTTGAGAGGCAGGCGCTAGAACCACTGAGCTTAATCCCTGGCCCTTAATTGTAATTTCTTTTTTTTTCTTTTTTGTACCAGGGATCAAACTCTGGACCTTAATTTTCCTTTAATGTCCTGTGGTGAACAATGCATTGGAAGTTTGAAAAATTTCTGATCAGTTGGGGTTGTAGGTTGTAAACTCTTACTAATGTTGTTGTAAGACTCCAAATCTTGGCATGGGCAATCTAAAGAGAGCATCTTTTTTTTTTTGGTCTGAACTCTGTTTCACATAGGTTTAAGTGTGATGTTATTACTGGTTTTACTCCTTTATCCAGATTTTTGCATTTTATGCTACCTATTGTTTGCTAATTTGATTTCTTCTTACTCCTTTTTCCACTTCAGTACTAGTACTTTTAAAATACAGTTTCCGGCAGTTCAGTGCCAACAACTGTAAACTTTAATAGGAAAGGCAAAATAGGTATACTATCACTTTTCTTTAAAACACCAGCTTTTACAGCATGACCTAGAGATTCCTGGTGGATCTGTGAAGTGTTTTCAGGGAATCTGTGAGGTCAAAATTATTTTTTATAGTCATGCTAAGATGTTATTTCCTGATGAGTATACAATGGAATCTTCCACAGGCTACCTTATGGTCAATGGAATGCATGCTTATATATTCTTGTATTTAAAAATTTTTCAGTTTCAATACTTAAAATAGTAAATACTAATAATTATAATCTATATGAACAAAAACCCTTTGAGTTCCTCAATAATTATTTAAGTATGACTAGGTCCTGAGGCTAAAAAATTTGAGAACAGTTGGAAACAAAGTGTTCAATATACTGATGTTTAGTGTGGGATAGGTAGGCTTAACCAAAAGACCAAAAGATGTGGAGGTGTGATGAGCCATTTGCTCTGGACTGCAAAGTGTCTTTTACAGCTTCAAAGTACTAGTACAGTAATGACTTAATGAACTAATATTTCTTAGGTCTAGCTGAAGTATGACTGTTGACAAAATAGTCTTGTTCCTCTATAGCTAAGGGATCCTGAATGGAACTTACTCCCAAATTGTACTTCCTAATATACCATTCCACTTAAACAGGTAATCAAATGCCAAACATAATGAATGAGGGTCCTCCTCTGTCACAAATTTCTTTGTACCTTTCAACCAAAGATAGCAATCTAGGTAGACAACCCAAATTTTATTCCTCTTTCATGGTTGGCTCAAAACTGATAAATAATGATATGATTATAAATCACATACTAAAAAATGGCACACTCACTATAAATAAAGGAGTCAGTTTCCTCTCAAAGGTTAAATACATTGTGAAGGCAGACTTTTATATACTTCAAGCTGATTAAAATTGAAAGAATATCTTTAACATCTAAATAACTGCTATAAAACTTTCTGCTGTATTTATATTTTTTCCTCTTTCTGTTTCTTCTTTTAGGGTGTCCGTAGAGTCATTTAAGCATGGAGTTCTGAGAGAACAACTGGCCAATTTGGCCACAAGACAGAAGAAACTTCTGGTGGCAGCAAAAAAACAGAAAAATATAAGCCTGAAAATTCAAAATTATAAGAATGTCACATCCTTGTCTGGTCTTCCTTCAAGAAAGTTATCATCCAGCTTAGACATCTCCAGTGACAAGGAGAGCCAAGAGCTTACCAGGCTGGAAAATGTAGTGCAGCCCCAATTAAGTCCATTTTCTGCTGTCAACCTTGATTGTGGAAGCGTGGGAGAAACTCCATTGTCTCCAGAGACTTGGAATGATGGCCAAAATACTAACATTTGTCTAAATTCCAAAAAATTTTCTAGAAGTGAGATGAATTTGAAACAAAATGAAAGTGATTGTACTTTGGATGGTTTTTCAAACTCCATACATTCAGATACCACTGAGAAGATTAAATTATCATCCCAACAGGCTACTTTTATTGCTCAAACAGAACACTCACAAAAAGAAAATGATCTTATAGAAATGATAGCCAAAGATCATGAATTCTGTAGTCCTTCTGCCACAACAAGCTCGTTAAATATTTCTGAATGCACAAGTAGCCTTTCCCAAAATGATCCCTATTTATCAACTGTTATTTCAGATCAAGACCTTTACCATTGTGATCCCAAAAGAAGAAACAAGAAAACAGCTTCCCAGCTGCCACCTGGTGGGGTCTCAGAATCTGTGGCACATCAGAGGAGTGCTGTCTTAGGTACTTATACTGGACATGCCCTAAAACCTTGTCTTAAAAAGGCAGCTTCTGCTATTCCACGTGCAAACGACAGGCAGATCTCTTCTTCCTTTGAGTCTAGTCATCAACATACTATAAAAAATCCTTCAAGTTTCAGCACAACTCCTAAAAAGAAATGTATGGAGATAAAAGACTTGATGTTACTAGGAAGAATTAACCCAGGAAATAACATTTTGGAGTTCAGAACACAGGTATTTTTTTTTTTTTTTTTTTTGGTACCAGGGATCCTTGTGCTTATGAGGCAGGCGAGTGGAACCACTGAGCTAAATCCCTGGCCCCATAGGTATTCTTTTAATCTAAAATCATGCAAGATTTATAATAAGTAAGTGTTGCTGTCACATAGTGTAGGTATTTAGAGGTTTGGTTGGGCTTCCTGAGTGGAGGAACACAACCACTGTATTTTTTTTTTTTTTTGTACTGGGAATCAAACTCAGGACCTTGCACTTTTAAGGCAGGCACTGGAACCACTGAGCTAAATCCCTGGCCCAACCACTGTATTCTTAGCAAGTGAAATCATGCTTCTGGAATTGTCCTGTTACAGTTTAGTCGCAAGTACCTGTGTTTTCTCAGACTAGAAATAGTTAATTATATTACCACAGAAATGATTTCAAAAATAACCAATAAACTCCTAATGCCTCCCCAAAAGGGGCAAGTATAAATTCATCTTCTATAGAAGCTCAATTTAGAACCAAAGAGTGAGTTGTAGTTTAGGTAATATGACTCAATTAAAATAGTATCATTTATTCATAAAAGTGGAGGGAAAAAAGATTCTGTTAGATATACCTATTAAAAATGCTTCCTCTCATCTTTCTTCACATTCAGTTTTTGAAAGAGGAATTTAGAATGTCAAGGATTGAAGTCCTTGAATCCTTTTTTGCTTATGGATCAGTCTAACAGAAATTGGTGCAGGCAAACCAGACTTTAATTTGAATGATCCCTTTTTCCAACACTTCTCTATTCTGGATAACAAAAATCTGTACTTATAAGTTAGCATAAAATATTTTAATTTTAAAGCACCAAATTAATTTTATGACAATCAATGACTTGATCTCAGATCTCTCAGTGTTCTGACTTGCTCATCTGTTGGCCAACTTATTGCTGGATACTGCCTATCTTAGATTAGCCAAAGAAGCTCAAATTTTAGTAGATTAGTTATATTAACTTAAAGTTTGACAATTACTTCTCTGAATCAGCCATACACAATTTTAGTAGAGTTTTTGATATTTAAGCTATTTTTCTTTCTTCAGTAGCTTTATGAGATATAGTTTGCATACAAAACACTGAATATATTTAAAATGTTCACTTTGGGAAGTTATGACATATGTACACATCTATGAAGTCATGACAAAAAACAAGATAATGAACTATCCATTGGCCCCAAAAGTTTCTTTTTGTATATCTCCTTTACATCCCTCTTTTCCCTTGGCAGTCCCCAGTTGATTACTGGTCTGCTTTCTGCATCTGCACACTAGATTTCATTGCTAAGAATTCTCTGTAAGTGGAATTATAGATCATATATTCATTTTATTTGACTTCTTTCTCTGAATATAATTATCTGAGATTCATCTTCTGCATATCAATACTTCATTCCTTTCTTTGTTCTTGGGTAGTATTCATGTTTTATCAGTTCACCTGTCATAGACACTTTGGTTATTTCTAGTTGTCAGCTATTACATATAAAGCTACTATGAATTTTGGTGTACAGATTGTGGATGACATACCCTTTCATTTTTCCTGGGTAAATATATTGGAATAAAGTTGCTGAATCATTGGCACCATAGATATCCATTGAACTGTATAAGAAATTGCTAAAGTTGTTTGTAAAATTTTTTATAATTTCATCAGTGACAGATGTATAGTTCTATATCATCACCAATGCCCACGATGATCAGTCTTTCAATTTTAGGGATGCTAACATGTAGTGTAAATGTGTGTCATGTATATTATGGAACAGGTATATATGTGTAGTGAGTTATCATTGTGGGTTTAATTTACATGCCCATAATGATTAATGATGCTGAACAGCTGTATTATTTGCTCTGCATAGTTATTGTTTTAGTAAAGTTCAAATTTGTTGCCCATTTTTAAATAGAGGCTTATTGTGTTTTGAGATATACACACACACACACAAATACATGTCTTTTTCAAACTTTATTGTAGCATGTCTTCATTCTCTTAACATTTTTTAAATTTTTTCATGTTTAATTGATTTACTGAGAGACTTTTTAAATTTTTTTATTAGTACATGTTTGGAGTACATAATGTTTACATTCCTTGTGTGGAGTTGGTACATTTTCATAACACGTCTTATTTTCTGTTTTCATCTCCTTTCACTCCTCTCCATCCACCTTCCTCCATCTCTTGATCCTCTTCCCATTCAAGAAAGATCTGCCTCTCTACTTCCTCTTCTTTTATTTTGCTCTGTACTTATAATTTGAGTTTCTTATATAGAAGAAACCATGCAATAATTAAGCATGCATGTCTGACGTATTTAACTTAATGTTATGGTTCCAAGGTGCATCCATTTTCTTACAAATAACTCACTTGTCTTATTTCTTGACTGGATCTTTAATTATAGATAGTCTTTAATTTTTTTTGAGTTGTTTATATATTCTAGATAATAGTCCTCTGTCTGAGGAACAGCTGACAAAATATTATCCTATTCTGTAGATTGTCTCTTCATTCTACTAATTGATTCTTTTGCTGTGCAGAAGCTTTTTAGTGTGATATAATCCCATTTGTTGACTTTTTTTTTAAATGTAGAACCATACTGAAAAGTGTGTGGGGAGGGTTGTACTTTTTAAATTAATTTTATTGGTACATTTTAGAAATACAGTTACATTCATCCTTGGAAATTTGCACCTTTACATAATCTCTCTTGGTTCTTTTTCTTCCCCCATTCCCTTGCCCTCCCTTCAACCCCTCCATCCCTCCCTATTTACAAA